TTCAAGGGATGCCCAGCCAATGAAGGCAGGAAGGGGGAGGACATGCGGCGGAAGAGGGCGGGAAGGGACACCTGGGGATCGGGAGGGGAGGAGGGGCGAATGAGGCGGACGGACGAAGGAGGAGGGAAGGGATGGAGGATGGGGGAGAGGGGAGAATGCGGTGAGGCGGAGGAGGAGAGGGAAAAGAGGGGGGGGGGGGGGGGGAAAGGCGACGGGGAAGAGGAAAGGGAAAAAGGGGGGTGAGGCGATGGGAGAGCCTATCTCGCTCGTCCGAGGCCTCCTCTGTGTTATCGTGGGGCTCGCGATCTTCAAGCGCGGGGCTTAACGGCTGCCCTGGGAGAAGGAGCGTGAGCAGGTCAAGGAGGATGAGAAGCACGTGGAGAAGGACCATAATCAGGAGCAGGAGTAGGAAATTGGAGAGGATCTCATCCATTCTCCGCGTTATCCCCATGTCTAAATTTTGTTGTCATTCCATCTGCTGCTGCGGTTGCCGTTGCTGTGTCTGCTCGCTGTTCCCATTATCTTTCTCATCCTCTCATCCTCATCCCCATCCGCTGCCTGAGCAGGAGGATGGGGAGGAAGCGGCAGCAGCAGCACAGGCAGCGTTGGCCGCAGCAGCAGCTGAATAGGCATGAGCAGAACGAGGAGCGTTGTTGAGGAGGAGGAGGAGGAGGAGGAGGAGCCGATGCGTGAGAGGTCTCCATCCCCCTATACATACGCCCCCTTCAGAGGTGGAAGTGATACTGATATCGATGCCCGTCCCTCCTCGCCACGGCCGTACTCGCCTCGAGATGCTAGTCAGGGCGCACCCGGGCAGGGGTCTGGGGAGTAGTGGTGTCGGAACGTGGATCTTCCCCCGCTTCTCCGGCCTCGCCTCTCACTCCTGCTCCGCTCGCCCCCAGCGCGTTCTCCCTCCCCGGCCAGCCCGTTCTCGGCTGCTCTGCTCCGTCAGAGGGAAGACGGCGGGGACCATGTCGAGTCGATCGGTCCGATGCGTCATCGATTCCGACCAGCTCGATCCGATTCGATTCCGATGTTCCGAAGATCCGGTGCAAGAATTTCACTGTCAGCCAGCGTGGACCCCAAGCAGGGATTAGATTGCACTGTGGACGTGTAAGCGATCGTTTCCCTACTCCTTGTTTTGCCGGTCGGCGCGGGCCCTCGCACCCCCGCCCCTCCCCTCGCCCATGGAATAGGTCTTGGCTGTTTTTGGCGCCCGCTTCAAGCAGGTGGAGTTTCTTCCCCATAGGACGCATTGCTGCAAACAGTGGCATTAAGCAGAGGTCCGGAGCCAGAACCCCCCCCCCTCCCCTTCCTTTACGCCCACTGCCGAAACGCCGAACAAGAATCAGGAGGGAAACAACACAGACACAATGAATCGTCGATTCCCCAGAAGATATGGGAACATATGGGAAGTGGGGGGGGGAAGACAAAAACCCAGAAAATATCGGAAATGATGGGGAATCCTGCTATTCGTGTGTATTTATTTGTGTGTGTGTGTCCCAGGCCCCCCTCAAAGAGTACGATCGCAGAGCTGTGTGGTGCATTTGTATGTGGAGTAAGCTATGTGGCGCAGCATGCGCGGTGCAAGCTGGAGGCGGCCACCAGCGGCAGCGTGGCGAAATCTCGCCGGACCCACCCAGCGCACGAGAGGGCCACGGGCAGCAGGGCGGCGAAAGCTCGCCAGGCCCGTCCTGAGTGCCAGCTTCGTCGGGGGACGAATTTCGGAGGTGGACGGACCTCCGACCCTGACAGGCCTCCTCCTCCTCCTCCTCCTCCTCCTCCTCCTCCTCCTCCTCCTCCTTAAGGAATTGGCATTTTCCGGCTCGCGAGAGGGCGTCGCGGCCTTTATTGTTTTTCCGGGTCCAGGTCCGTCGGGATTTCGGTCCCGGGCCGTTTTCACGACAGTCGGGGCCCTGAAGAAGGAACCCTTTTCCTTGGGGAGGGGCTCCGTGTTCTTGAATTGTTTCGCAGCTTGCCCTGGATTTCCCTTAGGTTTTTGATACGAAATCGACGTTCAACTTGTGGAAAATAGGGGCCTCGTTCCTTATTTAGGGTTCCTTAGGTCAACGCCTCGACTGTAAAGGGTGGTTTGTTAAAGGGAGGTGTGTCCACAGCCGAGCCAGCACTGTCTGGGGACGTCGCCTCGCTTGCGCGCGAGAGACACGAGCCAGGCTCGAAGCCGACTTCTCGACTGGGGGAGTCTCGACTAGACGTAAGAGTGACCTTTCGCCAGAGTGACCTTTGGTGCAGGCACAGATGCGCCTTCAGATGGCTGATAACGAAGCAGTAGCAGCGGCTTGCGCGCCCAGGTTTGGTCTCCCCGCGGCCCCCAAAAAGCCGCGCACCAACGGCTTATTTTTGTTATTAGAACATTTTTGTGTTCTAAGAACATTTCGTGGTAGAACTATAGAAATGCTGGGACGGTCGGTCCCTGCTCAATTCACTGCGATCTCATCCCCCAGCCTCCGGCATAGACGTTGGAAGGTTCGCGGGGACTTTTTACCTCGGGTCGGCGCGGCCCCCCCCTGGCAGCACCCCCGACGCCGCCCTCGGCGCGCTCGGCGCGTCAGGGAAGAAACGGAGTCAAGCGCCGCCCCAAGACGTCCGCGCGTCGCCGACCTCTGAAAGTTCATGATCGTGCCATTCTGTTGTTCCTCCAGGGCGGGGGCAGGAGGGAGGACGAGGGGGCTGGCGGGGCGACACATCCAGAGCTCCCCCAGGAATCTCCGACCAACGCTTGCAGAGAGCAGTGGCTCGCGGCGGCTCCGACCTCATGGTCCGCGTCGCCGTCCGCGGCGACCTCGTTCGTCCTCATCGTCCTCGTCGCCATCGCCGTCCGCGTCGTCGTCAGCTCCGTCCTCGTCGTCCTTCGTCGTGCGCGTCGCCAGCCCGCGTCGTCGTCGTTCTCGTTGTCCTCCTCGTCCTCCACCTCCGTCTTGCCGGCGGCTGCGGCCAAGCGAGGTACGGGCTCATGACAGGCTTCATGCCCTTCGGCCATTCCATCGGCAGGCGGTTGCCTGAGAAGGCGGGCGCATTGGGGACGGTCGTCGGCATCGTCGTCGCCGCCGTCGCTGCCGCCACCGCCACCTGTCCTCGCAAGAGCGGAGATGGGGAGGGAATCGTATGAAAATTCTGGCATTGGAAGAACAACAACGGAAGTCAAAAGAGGGGGTAGGAGGAGGAGGAGGAGGAGGAGGAGGAGGAGGAGGAGGAGGAGGAGGAGGAGAGTGACGATGGCTTCGACCCTTGGGATGAGACAGCCACCAGCGTGAGCGTCAGGAGGAGAGAGAGAAAGAGAAAGAGAGAGGAGGAGGAGTGGGACCAGGAGGATGGGGGAGAGGAAGGAGAGACGGCCTTCGTCGCCGCGGCTGGGGTCTCCTTTCTATTTGCCAGGTCGTCTTCCAGAATTGGTCTGGGTATCGGTGTTGATGACTGCCGGTGCTCTAGTGCCTCCTCTCCTCCTCCTCCTCCTCCTCCTCCTCCTCCTCCTCCTCCTCCTCCTCCTCCTCCTCCTCCTCCTCCTCCTCCCTCTCCTCCTCTCCCTCCTCCCTCCCCCTCCCCTCCTCCCTCCCTCCTCCTCCTCCTCCTCCTCCTCCTCCTCCTCCTTCTCCTCCTCCTCCTCCTCCACCACCAGGGTCGGGCGGTTGAGAGCACGCCCACAGCAAGCTGTCTCGGTGACCGTCTCGCGCTCCCTTCGGGGCCGCGCCAGGCGAAAGTCATGCAGAATGGCAGGAGGGGGGAGGTGGGGGGGGGGGGGGGGAATGGGAGCAGGCTGCTGGGCCCCCCCCCCTACCCGTCGCTCTCCGCTCCACGCTCTGCTCCTTCCTCCTCGCAGAGGCGAAGCACCCAAGCACTCGAAACATCCCCCTCTCCTCCTCCCTCCCCGCCCATCCCTCTCTCTCCTCCCCCTCCCCCTCCCCCTCCCCCTCCCCTCCACCACCCCCGGCCCTCCATGGAGGTTCACATGACGATGTTCCTGCTCGCCAGCGCCTGCCTGGGCGTGCTGGTGACCTACAGCGAGCCGGCCATCGGGGCCCTGCAGCTCGTCGGCGAGATCCTGAACAGCCAGGCCGGTCTCCCCCCTGGGAGAGGTTCACGCAACGCGGGAGTCAGCGCTAACGCATTGGAAGACGATCAACCCAGACCCCCTCGAGTCATGAAAAAATCACGACGGGAGGTTTTTCATGATTTTCGGCCTCTGGGGGCCCTTACCGGCCTTCGGGACCGTCAAAAAACGACTCAGGATGAAAAACCGGTCCTGGGGAATGGGTCCAGACCGCTTGGGGTCGACGTCATGAAAAAATCATGACGTCGGGGGTCTGGGAATGGAGAGGAGGCACGTTGCCAAATCATTTCCGGGTGTCCAATACATGTTTCAAGCATGTCTGTAAATTGCTGGGGCATGTTCCAAACAGTTTCCGACTCTGTTTGAGACAATTCAAAGACATCTGAAAGACACCTCGTCAGTCAGCGATAGACCGGTTAGAGTCTCCATTGCCATGGCATCCACAGCGCTCATGGCGGGCAGCCGCTCTCCCCCGGCTGACCCAGACTTGGGAGCCACGTGGGGCCGCCTCCCCTTGCCTGCCCTCCGCCTTTGGCAGCTGCTGGGCGGACGGCCCCGCTTCGCGACAGGCCCCCCTGGCTGGGGGAGGAGGAGGAGGAGGAGGAGGGAGGAGGAGGAGGAGGAGGAGGAGGAGGAGGAGGAGGAGGAGGAGGGAGGAGGGAGGAGGAGGAGGGAGGAGGGGAGGAGGTAGGAGGGAGGAGGGAGGAGGGAGGAGGGAGGAGGATGTGGAGGCAGGGATGGCCGCCACGACGGGGGGGCCTCCGGGGGAAGGGCCTGGCCCTGCGGGTGCCGCTCGTTCGTACCCCCCAGCTCGACGGCCTCAGGATCGAGGACGCTCTTCACCACCCGCCAACCCACCCCAACCCAAGCCGAAGGCTCCGATTTGCCCTCCACCTCCAGTGGGGGGGGGTCGGGGCACGTTGGAAAAACACACGGGACCCGCACCCCCCCCTCCAACCCGAAGTTCGGGTCTTCGGGTTGGGTTGGGGTGGTCTGGTAGGCAGTCAGCTCTGGAAGATGGCCTCCCTCTGGAGGGGCCGCGCTCCGGCGCTGGCTCGGCACGCCTCCCCCCCCAGGGAGCCTCGCCCAGCGGCTGCGGTGGGAGGCCCTGAGCTTGGCTGCCCGGCTGCGCCCGTCTGGGCGCGCAGCACGTGCCGTGCTCCAGGCGCCCGTGTTGGCACGCTGCCTGTCGGCTCCACATGTTGGCCCACGTTGGGGCGAACACATCGCTCGGGACCCGGGGCTGGCAAACGGAGGAGGAGGAGGAGGAGGAGGAGGAGGAGGAGGAGGAGGAGGAGGAGGAGGTGGAGGAGGAGGAGGAGGAGAGAGGAGGGGGGTAACACAAAATCGCATAAACATAAAAACTCGGAGGTCCGCGCGGATTTCTCGGCCGCGCTGCGCCCCCTCCCTGGCGCGCGGAGCGCGCCAGGGGCGGCGCCGGAGGCGCCGCCGGGGGGCCCCAGCGCCGATTCGAGAAATCCGCGCGGACCTCCGAGTTGTTGTGTTTATGTCGTTGCGCGTTCCCCTAATCCACCTATGCCATGCTCCTAATCCACCTGTTGTTCGTTATCATGTTTATGTCATGTTTGGGCGAACACCTCGCGCCAAACGCCCGATTTTTTTTTCGAAGGATTGCAAACAAAAAAAACCCAGGTTTGCAATCCTTCGTTGCAATCCTTCGTTCACTCTGCGTGTTGGGCTCCGCGTCCGCACGCCACGGGTCCTCATGAGGGCTCCGCCGCCGCCCCGGGGCCCGCGGGGGACTTCCCCGAGGGCGCGGGGCCTCTGAGCTGTCCCGCCAAGCTTGGGAGCAGGCCCTCTCCTTCTCGCTGCCCCCCCATCGCTCGCCGCCGATTCAGAGCCCTCGGGGGCCTCCTCGGGCCCCGGGGCCGGCAAACGGAGGAGGAGGAGGAGGAGGAGGAGGAGGAGGAGGAGGAGGAGGAGGAGGGGTAACAGAAAATCGCATAAACATAACAACTCGGAGGTCCGCGCGGATTTCTCGGACGCTGGGGCCCCCCGGCGGCGCCTCCAGCGCCGATCCGAGAAATCCGCGCGGACCTCCGAGTTCTTATGTTTGTGGCACTTTTTGTGCCCCTATTCTCGCTGCCCCCCCTCGCTCGCCGCCACTTCAGAGACCTCGGGGGCCTCCTCGGGCCCCGGGGCCGGCAAACGGTCGGACGACTCCGGGTGGCGAGTCCCGGGGCCTTCTGGGCCCCCGCTCCCCTCGGGCTCCTGATCCCCTGGTCCCTCCCTCGCCGCAGGCTGGAGATCAGAGCGTGAATTACCTCCCCCGCTTTCGCTTCCAGGCAAAACCAAGTCGTACCACGCGCCTCCTCGTCTAGCGGCCTGACCAGTACAGGCTGCAATTTGGCATCGTTTGGTATCTCTTGGAAGCGAGGGTGGTCAAAAGCGAGGGAGGTTTGTTTTCCCCCTAGGTCCCTCCCTCGCCGCAGGCTGGAGAGGGAGGCAGGGCCGACACGCATCACAGGGGACGCATGGCGTGGCCCTGGAGATCCGAGGCTCGGACAAGCATTGGAGCGGGCGCTTTTTTGTTTTGTTTGTTGCTTTCGTTGTGCTTTCGGTTTTCGGCCTCCGGGGGCCCTCGCTGAGCCTCGCGTCAAAAAACAATGCAGGAGGAACAATCGGCTCCAGGGAAGCGGTCCAGACCTCCGAGGCCTTCGCATCGAGAAACATGGATCCGCCGGATGACTGGGGCCACGGTGTGACCCAACCGCCTGCATGCTGGCACAGCTCAGGAGCGCAAGATGGACGCACACGTACATGAGTTCACGTTGGTTTCGAAAGTGCGCATTGCGCGAGCGCTCGTAACACGAGGCTGGCCTCGTGGACTGGGGGGCCGTATTGCTGTACGTGGCTGGGCGAGTACGTCTTTTCTGCGGGTTCCCTAGCAGCCAGTTGCACCATGCAGGCACCCGCGCGGCAGCCACCATTCCGTCGATGGGCGTCCACCATTCTGAGATGGTCGGACGCCGCAGGGCAGGGCGCAGCTCGATCCGATCGATGCGATCCGAGATCGGCTCTGGGCGGCCCGGTGCGGTTTGGTTGGCGACGTTCCGACGATCGGATGAGGTCCGATGCGTGGAGGGAAAAAGCACACAGACACAATTAATCGTCGATCCCCCATAAAATATGGAAAATATGGGAAGTGGTGGGGGAGACAAAAACCCAGAAAATATAGGAAAATATGGGGAATCTTTTTGTTTGTGTGCATTTATTTGTGTGTCCTGGGGCCCCTTCAAATCATGGTGCATCATGGCGCATCATGGCGCAGCCGATCCGATTCGACCTCGATGCCGTGCCGGTGCGGCCCGATCCGAGGCGCACGCCGGCTCGGTCTGAGCGCGGCGGCCTCGAGGCCGACGTATAGCCCGCCGGGGGGGCTGGCAGCGGCGCGGAGGGCGGGGGGAAGCCGGAGGGTGCCGGAGGGGACCCTGGCCCAGAGTGGCCCCGGCTGCTCCAAGGGGGGCCCGGACTCCGAGGCGGGGACTCCGGCGTGGCCGCCGCCCGGAGGAGCTATCTTCGGAGACCTCGGCGGGCGGTGAGCACGTGGAGGTCTTGGGGTTCGGAGGGCCCGGACCCACCGCCCGCGGGGGCAGCAGGACGTCGGTTCCCGGGCGGTGGGGGCACCAGAGGACGTCGGTCCGAGATGTCGGTCCGGCCCCCTCCCGTTCCGGTCGAGGAGGAGGAGGAGGAGGAGGAGGAGGAGGAGGAGGAGGAGGAGGAGGAGGAGGAGGAGAAGTGAAGGAGGAGGAGGAGAGAAGGAGGAGGAGGAGAATGAGGAGGAGGAGGAGGAGGAGGAGGAGGGGAGGAGGAGGAGGAGGAGGAGGAGGAGGAGGAGGAGGAGGAACTCCCCGCTTCGCACAGACGGCCTCCAGCAGCACCCCCTCGCGAGGTCTGGCGGGGCCCGTCCAGGGGAGGGCTCTCCGGAGGGGGCGCGGGCAGACCGCCCGGAGCCACCCCGGGCCAAGAGGCCACCTTTGGCAGCCACCGGGGGGGGAGGAGCAGGAGCAGGAGCAGGAGGAGGAGGAGGAGGAGGAGGAGGAGGAGGAGGAGGAGGAGGCGGCGAGGGCGTCTCCGTCCCCGCCCCCCTGCCTTCGAGCAGGGGATCGTCTGCCGCGGGGGCAACGATTCAGAGGAGCATGAAGTATTGATGTTGATAGCTTTCCAGACTTGCAGGTTCTCCTGTTCTTCCGCGCGGGCTCCAGGGACGGATGGTCGAGCGCATTCCGTCGCGCAGGTCATTTGCGTGATGTTCGTGGTGCATTTTTCGCGCATCGGAGCGCCCTCGAGGATTCCATGCTGCATGCCCGCGCGAAGGCTGTTAGAAATCCCGGAATCTCCGGAACGTATCAATAGCACGTTGTGTCAATAGATTATTCTCGTCCTAACGATAGCGGGGGATAGGCATCTGGAGGGATGCATCGACCCCCAATCGCCCATGGATCCCCGACAGGGGCCTGATGGCCCCAGCCTGCCCAGGAAGGTGCGGAATCATTATCAGAGGCCTATCGTCGATCTATTGGCGATGTATCGCCGATTCCAGGTCTGTTTCCTCCCCCCTATCCCTATCCACCCCATCGTTGCCCCTCACTGCAGAGCTGATTTACCCTCAAAATTCGGAGGTTGCTAGATCTCCTGCCCTGACACGTCGATCAGCGAGTTGGCCGTGTTCGGTTCGCGGGAGAGCGCCGCGGCCGTCATGTTTGCAGGTCCAGGTCCGCCGGTTTCGGTCTTAGGCCGTTTCCACCACAGGGAGGTTTACCAAAGGGAGGTTTGTCCACCGCCGAAAAATTGATTTGTTCGTCGAATTCACGGGTAACGCGCAGAATGCTCGTAGACCTTCGAACAGTATGCGTGTGTTTGGGACATCCGACGAGCAGGTCAACTTGGAGGCAAATCATCAGGAGGGAAAAATACACACAGACACAATTAATCCTCGATTCCCCAGAAAATATGGGAAAATATGGGAAGTGGGTGGGAAGACAGAAACCCAGAAAATATGGAAAAATATGGGGAGTATTTTTATTTGTGTGTATTTATGTGTGTGTGTCCTGGGGCCCCTTCAAATCAATTCTGTCGACGATCCCCTGCTTGCTCCCTCCCCTCCTGCAGTCGGGACGCCGAGGTGAGGGCCACTCTGGGCTCAGGGAGGGGGCGCGCGCTGCTGGGCTGCTCGCCAGCGTCAGGTCGGGGAGCGCACTCGCGGCCGTCGATCCTTGCCCCAGATTTCCTTTTGCTAGCGCGCTGACTGTACTCCAGATTTCGTAATAAAAGGGAGGGGGGTCTCATTTCGGGGGGGGTCTCTTCCAGGCTATCTTTGAGGGCCTGGGGGGGTCTGGGGACGATGTGTTGGAGGGTTCTCCCACGGGGGAGGTCTGAAATGGCTTGTCTTGGAGGGTCCAGACCCCCTCCCTTCTATTACGAAATCTGGAGTATCCTTCCTGCTGCTGCCCGCCGCCGCCGCCTGCGTCGAGCCTCGCACCTCGATCCCCCGAGTCCGCCCAGATCCCCCCCTGGGGGGGTGGACGGGAACCTGCAGAAAAGCGTGCCTCGGGGCGCCCAAGGCGACGACGGCGTCGACAGCGACGCCGTCGCCGCGTCTGCAGAAGCCTCCGGAGGACCCCGAGAGGGCTCCCCAGACCCTGACTTCGGATCCGCCGTATTTTGGGAGATGTCCCGGCTTAAACTTGTGTCGGACATGCACCCTAAACGATGCGGACAAGTAGGGCGGAAATGCCCACCTCAGATAAGTAGAGTGGATATTTCCGCAATTGTATGTCGGGTGTAGTGGCGGCAAAGTTGGGCGGAAGTCGACACCAGAGGAGCTTGACAAGTAGGGCGGAAATTTCCGCCATGCTTACGAGATCGCCCCAAAGGTACGGCGGATCCGATGTCAGGGGAAGGCTCCCTTGTAGGGATCCCCAGAAGGCCCCCGAGGTCTCCCCTGAGGCCTCCTTGACCCGAAGGCCTCTGCCACGGGGGTCTCCCGCGGCCCCCGAGGGTTCCTTGAGCCCCCACCGGAGTGCAACAACACAACTTACAGTATATAAGCGGTATGGAATACTCAGATAAAGCTTTCTACTTGATTGCCAGATGAGTGTTGAGGCGATGGTCACCCCCAGAGGCCCCTGGAGGACCCCCCCGGCAGCTCCCTTTGCGAAGGGCTCCCTGCTATCGGCGAGAAAAAACGCATGAACATAAATTGTCCACGGTCCGCGCGAGTTTCTTTGATCTGCGCCGGGGCCTCCATGGCGGCGCCTCCAGCGCCGCCAGCGCCAAGGAGGGGTGCCCAGCGCCGATCCAAGAAACCCGCGCGGCCCGCGCAGTGCTCCAACAGATTATGTTTATGCCGATTCTGGGTCTTCGGCTCAGACTGGCGACGACGACGACGCCGACGCCGACGAGACGACGACGAGACGACGACGACGACGACGACGACGACGACGACGACGACGACGACGCAGCCGCGGTGCGCGCCTCGTCGCGCGCTGGGAGGCGCACGGCCCCGGCGGCGAGGGCGCGGCGTTGCTCGTGATGCTCAGCAGGCGGCGTTCGCCGGAGCTGCTGGCCGCGGTGGCCGGCGGCGTGGGCATCGCCGCGGCGCGCGCCGCCCGGCCTCGGGCCGCCGCCGCCGACGACAACGACGACAGCGACGACGCTGACGATAACAACAGTGACGACGCCGACGGCAACGATGACACCGGCGGCAATGACGACGCCGACGACAGCGACGGCGCCGCCGTCGCCGTCATTGCCGTCGTCGGGGTCGCGGCCGGCGTCGTTGGCGGTGGCGTCGTCGTGTTCGTCGTTGGGGTCGTCGGCACCAGCGTCGTTGGCGCCGGCGCCGTCGTCGGCTTCGTCGTCGTCGTCGGCGTCGTCTTTGCTGTTGGTGTCGTCGTTGTCGTCTGTGTCGTCGCCGTCGCCATCGTGGTCGTGGTCGTTGTCGTTGGCGTCGTGTCGTTGGCGTCGCCGTGGTCGTCGAGGTCGTCGGCGTCGTCGGCGCTGTCGTCAGCTGTAGCGTCGGCGGTGTCGGCGACCAGTGGTGCGCTGCAGTCGAGTAGCATCTGTGTCAGACACTTGTGTAGCAGAACGGTTCTGCTACAGTGGTACATGATAGGTGTGGGGCGCGAAAGTTATGCTCAAGGCTCACATGTGGTAGCATTATTATGGTAGCGGTGGTTCCCATCATATTATCATGGTATCGGTGCCCGCGGTTCGCCCCGCGGGTTCCACTGCGCGCGGCTGACTCCGCGAAGCAGTCGCCTCCCTGCGATGGCCGCGGCGGCAGCCGCGACGGCCGTATCGTGCTTCTAAGAAATTCAGGACCAGCGTGGAGTGCGAGTCTGAGCGGAGTCGTTCAGGACGTGGACGCCGGCCAGATACTCGAGGACAGGGGCGCAGTGACATCGGAGGAAAAGAGCGGATGAGAGAATTCAGAGGGGGCGCGCAACATCGCCACCGAACTCGTTTACCGAGTTACCCGCGACATCCAAGTTTACCAACGGATCTGTGAGGGGCGCGAACACCAGGGATTGTGAGCAGTGCCAGGGGCACTCGAGGCATGCGGATGCGTTGATGAGGTACGGTCAGTTACCAGTGGAGACGCATGCGATGTTCATCGCGAGCATCGAAAAACGCAGGTGTGGGATGACGCGCCTGGAAGTGAGCTCGATCCACCATTCACGTCAGAGGCTGGGCAGGAGGAGATTGGGCAACTCAGGAAACGCGTGGCCACTGAGCAAGCAGAGAAGTAGGACTGCTCGGCGGCTGCCGGCAAGGCCCCCGTTGGCACGAGGTGGATGGATTTCAACAATGGGACGAGGTCAATCCTGAGCGCCGAGCGTGCGTTGTGGCTCAGCAAACTGAGCACGAATCCAAAGACAGGAGTATATTTCTGGCCTCGTCTCTATTGGAAGCCCAAGATCTGCTATTCCCGATGGCTGCTACCGAAAGGATAGGGCACAATCGGGAGAGTGTGAGAAAAAAAAAAGCGAATGTTGGCGCTTACCGACATTAGACGGGCATGATCTTACGCCGAGGCCAGAATGGACATCATCGTATTGCCCGAGTGATGCCGCTACGCAGGCATGCGTGGAAAACTATTGAAGTCAACGCACGGCACTCGGGTGCAGGCAGCAAGTGGGATTATTGTTACGTGATTCTTGCACGTGGCATTGGTCTTGGCAATGGGGGATCATCTCCGTGCGTGTTTCAACACAAGGCTGACCCGGCTAACAGCGCATGGGGACGAGTGCACCTCATTGGGTAATGGCATCGGCCCTGCAATTTCCGAATGAGGAAATTGACAGGACACATGGAGGTGAAATCCGAGGATAACTAGGACCAGGGCCAAAATACCTGAATTTAATCGGGATTCCCAACCACACAGTGGAATTGAATTGGGTTGGGTTGTGGCATGAGGTGGGTCAAAGGCATGCTGGATCATCTGTTAGAGAATTAGGCCTGGAGCAGTTCAAAGTGAGCTGTGAGATACCGGGTGAACAGTAACCTGACCAAACAGAACATGAGAAGCCCCTACCAATCCATAACGTTAAAAACACCCAGCTTCAGTGGCCCGAGCAGGCTATCTTACACAGGACCGTTCGGACAGACAGTTTTTACTGCAAGGAGCTTGTACGATCTGTGGCAGCTCCGACCCGAGGGGCATGGGAAGGCCTCGCGCAGCTAGGCATGCATTCCAAGGACCACGACAGGCATGGATATCAGCACTTTACCAGGAGCGCCCTCAGGAGTTAACGGCGCGGGCCGACACTGACTATCCCGGATGCACGAGGACACGAAAGCAAACAAGCGGAGGCACCCTCATGTGCAGATTACGTGTGATACAGTCGTGGAGTTCGACTCAGAGCGTAGTGGCATTATCGAATGGAGAAGCAGAGTATTACGGAACGGTGGGTGGTGGATCAGTTGCGTCCAGGGTACAATCAGTCTTCACACATTTCGATGTTACTTGTCGCATCGTGTTCAATTGCGAAGTTAGTGCGGCCAGTGCCAGCGTGAGCCAGCAAGGACGATGAAAAGTCTGATACATCGAGGTTTAGTACTTTTGGTTACAAGAGCAGGTGCGACGAGGAAACAAAGTGATCAAAGCTGGAGCCCATGAGAATCTTGTTGGCGCTGTAACCAGATATGTTCGCAGGGACGATGTGCCCATGCACGTGCGAGGTACCAATCAACACATTGTTAGCGGAACACACGAGCTGGCGCCCGCCACGGAGTGTTCGTTTAATCCGTATCCGAGCTATCATCGCGTGCCGTTTTGGCGGGGACCTGATCCCAGGATTAATTGAGACCCATGTATTCGTCTACCCAAACGCCTGAAGTTGTCAATCGTTTTGCATGACCTGGTGCTTTGCGACACTTACAATTGCGTATCGCATCTGTGGAAACCCCTGCACGTTTATGCCCAAACCACCGACGCCTTCTGCACGCACCAGGTATGCGTATAATCGTTGTAGTATACTTACGCCGTCGATGCTGTGTAGTTTTGCTGTTCGCATCTGGCTAAACTTGTAGTTGCTGCAGCACTCCTGCGGCGCGCTTTACGGCCATAACTGGCCGATGGGGGGGGTAAGTAAATGCTTCCCCGCACCTGCAGGAGTCACCAGTGATGCGTGGCATAGGAGCAGCAGTTGTGTCAGACATGTGTGTAGTATACTTTTGCATGTATGATACAGTGGTACATGTTAGTTGTGGACCGCAACTATTCGGTTCAATACTCAAGTACTGTGTTCTTCCGGGGGGGGGGAAAGAATCCAACAACATTGTCAGGAGAAGGAGGAGGAGGAGGAGGAGGAGGAGGAGGAGGAGGAGCGGGGCGACGGCAGGGATGGAGCGGAGGCACCGGGGTGGGGGGAGTGGGGCGACGGCAGGAGTGGAGCGGAGGCAACGGCAGGGAGGGGGAAATGGGTGCAGGGAGAGAAGGGGGAGGGCGGACAGGCAGGCAGTAAGGCGACGGGGGGGAGGGTGGAAACGGGTGGCGGAGTGGAGGTACGCGGGGGACTGCGGGGGCAGGTGGGGGAAACCGATAGGCCGCCTGCGTCTGCGAATGCTCCCTAGTTGCAGAAGCAGCGCATGTCAAAATCTCTCGACTAAGGGGATCCGATGCGATTGCCTTGTTCTGCCTTGTCATGTCTCTCGCCTCCTCCCCTTCGTTCTCTTCTCGCCTGTCCTTCTTCCCTTCCCTCCCTCCCCTCCCCCGATCAGGATAGCTGAACGCAACCGTCCCTGCAGTGCTTTATGGTCGAGGGGGGCTGAGAGGGCGAGGTGTTGGTCCTCCCCCGGACCTCTCCTGGCTCGGTGTCCTGTCGTGGGGCCGCGGCGACTTCACCACTTCGCTCGGAAATTTGAATTCGAATTCGGTGAAGGAGCCCATGTGAGCAACGAGCAACGATTGCGCAGTCCGTTGGTAGTAACCTCGAAGGGGGATATGAGATCCATGTCAGAAGTTGGATACCTCTTCCGCTCTATCAAATATTCACGTTTGTTGGTTCGAGCCCGCTTCGATTACAGCAGCGAAGTTCGCAGGTTTCGTTCGAGCAATTTCGCGCAGATTTGGCATCCAGTGTGCACTTCATGTCTCTGGCCAAGAGCAGTGGGGGTTACCGTGGTGTCGATTCGAATTGTTGCCACAGTGTGCGACCAGCGCGAGGTGGAATCGCCACGCAGCCGCGGTGATTTGCAAGCTGATTTGCTCTCACCGACCAAGCCGCTGTGTCTAGCGAGAGGACCTGGCCTTCGATCGTGAGCGCTTTGTCGCGCGTCCGATCCCTCATTCGTGGCGGGGCTAGTTTCACAGAGGGGTCGAGCTAGAGTGCAACACAAGCTGGACCCGCTCCAGCAGTCCATGGTGGCATCAACGCTTCAGCGTTTCGACCTTTTCGCTCGCTTTCGGTCGAAGCCCGGGCTGTCGGAGGCAGGCTCGCATTCGAGTCGGGGCGCCCTTGCGCATCTGCTGGCATCCCAAGCCCCGTCCGGCCCGAGCCGAAGCGCACACATCGATTCCAGCTCCAACGGCATCGATCTTGACGTTGTGCCGCCAATTCGTTGCATCTGTTCACGGTCGTCGCCTGTATTCTAGGTCTCCTAGATGGGGTCGGAGTAGGTGGGGTCGGTGGATCGTGCCGCATCGCCGATGCATCGCCGATGCGGCACGATGCGGAGCCCGATTTGCTTCACCTCGACGTCGCCGATGCATCGCCGATGCTTCGCCGATGTATTGGCAATGCGGCGCGATCTTCCGACCCCATCTAGGAGGCCTCCATGCATGTTCGCCATTCGTCCCCTCAGTTGTCCCCCCTTCGTCTCCGAGAGATCGCGCGGTGAAAAGCACATCGATGTGAACGTCCCTCTTTTTTTTCTTCCGCCGCGCCTGCCTCGAACGGCTCCCGACGAGGTCGCCCTGCGAGTCCAGCACACTAGCAGCAGTGAAGCCTGACGTTGGAGTCTCTCTGATTCCCCCCAGGAGGTTTTATTGCGCGGGCAAGGGGGATTCCCTTCAGAGTCCCCCGAAAGAGTCGCAGGCGATCCCCTCCTTGTTAGCCTCCAGCTGGTTTTGGCAAGTTTCGCCACAACACAACACAACGCCAGCCTCAGCAAATGAAGCCTGACGTTGGAGTCTCTCTGATTCCCCCCAGGAGGTCTTAGCGCGAGGGCAAGGGGGATTCCCTTCAGAATCTCCCGAAAGAGTCGCAGGCGATCCCCTCCCTGTTAGCCTCCAGCTGGTCTGGGCAAGTTTCGCCACCGTGCCACCGCGGCAACATGCAACAAGTGCGGCGAAGGTTCGGGCACCACCCAGGAGGCCGTAACCTGGGGACACCCCTCGTCTCCACTCCTGGAGGGGCACTATTGGGGTCTTGGGCCGTCTTGGGGCTATCTTGGGCTCCCGTGGGGCCCTCTTGGGGCCGTTCTGCTGACCTTCTTGGGCCGTGTCAGGGCCGTGTTGGGGTGCTCTTGGGCCGGCTTGGGCCCCTCTTCGACCGTCAGGGGAGTCGTGGGCTACACGGAGGCCTTCTGGGGGCCCTCATTGGGTTGTCCTGGCCCTCGATTGGACAGTCTCGGGGCTCTCTCGGGGCTGTCCTGGGCCGTCTGGTGGGCG